CTACCCTTAATTCAATTTTCATTAGAAAAAATCATAACTCCTTGCAGAAACACATTGCTGGGAATATTTTTTCATGAAACCATCGAATTTGACATGCTAATTAACCCCAGAAGGGTCGCTGATTTTGTCTCACGAATATACACCCCCTTCTACCGCACATTGAGGAAAATTCACCAATAAAATATCGTAATGCGAAAAACAAAAACCCAATTGGATGGTTTAACAACGAATTCATGATTATTATCCTTAAGGTTAACAAAATTCAGATGATTGAGTTAACCTATTTGTGTATATTTGTATATTGTACGTGTTCATATTTAGTGCTGAATGTATTACTCCTTCTACATAGTTCTTTTTGTAATTGTAGAATTGGTGTTCTTCTTAAATTTCTGGAGGTTGTATGCCTGGGGAACACCTCCCTAGACAATGAGTTCCAAAGCCTCGCTGTTCGTTGGATGAACGAAGACTGAACTTGATGGGTCAATCTCGAAGAGACTGCTAAAGGAGGAACGGTTGTTGATATTTCACGAGAACATCGCCCATGAAAATATCTATAAAACAGAGACAAATCGGCAACTTTTCTACGGTGTTCCAGAGAAGTGAGCGAATTCGCTAGAGAGGCATCACCGACGAGACGGATTACCCTTTTTTGTACAGAGTACAATAGTTTCAGATATGTTTAGGTGCCTGTGTCTTGTTTGCATTAAATTCTACCAGGTTATTCGAGAACTGTTGCCAAGTCCATATTTATGTTGTTAACATTTCTTCCTCGTTCATTTCTGGTCTCACGGGCTGATATAGGAGCCCTGGAAGATAAAGCGGTATGGAGGGTACTTAGCATCCGCGAAGCTGTGTACTGGGCACGAAGTTGCTTCTTTGAAGAATGTAGGTGCGTGTTAGGTGTTTTGAGAATTTCTTCTGTTTTCAAAAAATGCATATTATTCCAAAAGGTTAAAATACCAAGTTTCAAATGTTTTTGTTTTGTCTAACCATATACTATAAAGTTGAATAGGACCTATCCTAATTTAGAACAACACATATCTTTTGAAAGCAATCCCCGATGGATGTGGAGCGATATACTTATTTATTATAGACATAAAAAAAGTCTGCTTTAAAATTCAAAATTGTTGATGAAAGTTTCACACACTACATTATAATTTGATTTCTAGATATTTTTAAAAAAAAGGATTTTCATCATCATTTGAATCATTTCCAATCACATCAGTTCGTTTCCAGCAATGAGTCTATCAATGTAAAAATTTCCATGGCTAGCCATGTGAATAATTGAGATGAAACGACCTATGGCGGAATAGCGCGCTCGCCTCTCTTTCACCAAACACATGGATGAAAACGCATGGCCACCTTCACACTGGTAGTATTTTGGAATTATCGATAACATTTATAAAATAATGTAATTCGCTTCCGATTGTCACAAATTGTTTTAGTTATTTGATAAATTGGTTAAGGCTTTCTCGGCCGAGATATTCAGTCGTACTATCTCCATTCGGGTTTGAAGGCCGTCGTAGTTTGGAACTGCATCCTAACGTTTCGCCAGCACGAGTGGCTGGCTTCTTCAGAGGTTTATTCATCTTGATGATTCACTGATATTTATACTCATTCTCGTAGAAAATACAGTTACAGACAAATTGTCAACAACAAAATTCTCAAACATTTTTTGCTCACAATTTGAATATGATTTATTCAAACTGAGTGGAACAGGATGTACTCAATTGCAATTTAAAGTATTTCTTTTGGCAGTGCCTTGTCGAGTGATTGAAATACAAAATATATTGTATTCAATGGAATGAAGAAAATTGAAATGAAATGGATTTGATAAATATATCTCTTATAGAACATCTGAAATATTGAATTGCAGAAAACATGAATAGCCACAACTTCCTATGTATTCCATTCACGTCGAAACGAATGTAATGTTCAATTATATGCAAGATTGTAGTTGTCACAGACAAACACGTAGGCACCTATTGTTTTCCTTAATGAGATTTAGACGTATACCGGCACAATTCTTGTAGCAGTTAACCCTTACAAGGACATTGACATCTACACTCAAGTAAGTAGAAGATTTTCATGACTGTATATTGATTTATTCCAATAATTTTTCTACTTGAATCATTACCGGAAGAACAAAATGATATGACAGCAATTTGAGGTTCCGTGGATTAGAACTCCCTGTTCTTTGTGAAGGGAACATTGAATTTCAATCCGTTAACATAAAAAGTTATTTCTGTTTCTCAATGAGTACGTATTTATAAGTAGAAAAAGGAATAACGAAATTTCAGCTGAAAACTGTTTGAAAAATAAATTTACCTTGTCATACAATTCGTCAAACTTTCATCTCAGAAGTGTGATTTCTTCACGACGTTGAAAGTGAAATACAATAAGATTTGAGTAAATACTTGAACATTAAATGATTAAAATAAATAGATATCAAAAATAATTTTTAAGTTCAAGCTATTATTGACATGCTCTAAAAAGATCAAAATAAGTTTTGATTTAATTCAAACTCATCAATTTATTACACTACACAATTTATTTTTATTCATTTGCACATCAGGTTAATCTCGCTTTTATATAATATAAATTGGTAATGTAACAAATTGATAATTTTTTTTTAATTGGTATAGCAGTCAGATTGTTTTCTGATATTTTGAGTTTCTCTGTCTCAAGAGAGGGTTCAAACCCTTCAATTTGATATCCATATCTTGGGGGTGTTAGAAGAAACATAGTTCACCATTTTTTGAAGTTCGACATATTGAATTCTGAATGACGTCGTGTCATTTTTCGTATTATTTTCAGCAAACCCTTTCATTGGATACCCATATCATGGGTGTACATATGAAACTATTCCACCATCTTGGGCGATCCGCCATATTGGATCAAGAATGATGCCATGTTATTTTTTATACCCATAGCAAACGCTTTCAGTTGATACCCATATCATGGAGGTGCAAAAAAACTAGTCCATCTTGGGTCGTCCCCCATATTATAGTTAGGATGACGTCATGTTATTTTTCGTATCCTTCTCAGCAAACCCTTTCATTCAATACCCACATCATGGGGGGTTCATAAAAAACTAGTCCGCCATCTTGAATCGACATATTGGATTTAAAGAAACATCTCATTTTTTGTATTCTTTTCAATAACCATATTACGAAGGAGTATAAGAAAACTTGTCTGCCATCTTGGGCGTTCCGTCATATTGAATTTAGAGAGATGTAATGCTATCTTTCGTATTTTTTCAGTGAACCGTTCCATTTGACACCCATGCGTAATATAAACCTTTGAAGAGTCAGTAACTCGTAACCTGGCATGTGGTCTGACTTCCACTTCCACATTGTTTTTTTAAACTCGCAATTGTCTCTGTTCTTTTACCAAAATATGTTAGAGTTACAAATTTCTTGATTTCTATATATGCTATTTCATACCATTTTTAGAATTATGTGGATTCGTTTTTCGATGGCATTCCAGGCTATCTTCCCAAATTTCTGCTACCACAGTTGTCGGTTGATTGGTCAAACCACCAACACTGACATACAAACTTGGCAAGTTGACTTGGGTGTCACACCCATCGATGGTTCCACTTATGTCTCGCTTGCGTTTACGCAGTTATTATTATTATTCTTGGTTATTCAAATTTTATCTTCAATTGAGGAACGCCTGCCCGGTACTGACGAGTTTGTAATACCAGAATAGAAACAGTGCTAGAGCTGCTGCCCGTATGTTCAATGATAATTATCCAAGAAGAACTGTACGACACAAATACGTTTCGGAATTATTGAACAAATTTATGGAAACCGGATCTGTTAACAATAAAAAGCATAACCGTTCAGGAGTTGTCAACGATAAAGTTATTTGTGCTGCAGTTTTAGGGCACGTTGGACTAATAGAAAAATCGCAATCTCTTACTAATTTATCTCGAGAATCAGGAAATCAGTCGTACAAATGTTTTCAGGATCCTTCATAAGTACAAATTTCGTCCATATAAGATTAGACTAGTTGATGAATTGAACGAAGATGATTTCGATAGACGTATCGAGTTTTGTGAAAGTCTCACTGAACGGATCAACTTGCATCAGAATTTCTTGTATAAAATTTGTTTTTCGGATGAATGTAGGTACGTTTAGTTTGAGTGGGAAGGAGAATCTGCAAAATTGTCGATATTGGAGTGATACGAATCCTCATTTATACCATCAAGTTCATACCCAACGACCTCAAAAACTGAATGTTTGGACGGAAATTTTATGATAATTTGACTAGTGATAAATATTTGGATATGTTTGAGAATCGAATAATACCGTGCATCAATAGGACAATTAGCAAGATATAAATTTATTCGAAAACGAAATAGTTTTTCAACAGAATGGTGCACCTCCTCATTATGCAGCTCCAGTTCTACAATTTTTGGATGAACATTTTCCTGGTCGCTGGACTGATAGAAGAAGTCCTACAGAATGGACACCAAGGTCTCAGGATTTCACTTCTGTAGATTTTTTCCTATGGTGTTATTTGAAGTCTGAAGTGTATTAGATAGAATCAATAATATTAGAAGATTTGAGAGAGAATATAATGAGGCATTGCAGAGGTATGACTCCCGATATTCTCAACCATGTGAGGGCTGCAATGGAAGCTCGTTTGTACCATTATATGATAGTTGGTGGAAACGTTTTTGAACATTTACTATAGAATTTTTTTCTTCTCATTGTCCACTCATCAGATTTCGATTCAGGAATTAATTGTTGACCTGTTTTTTTATTTTTCCTACAAGTCATTTTTTCAAAAGTTATTCAGGGTGGCTCGTTTTCAACTCAAATAACTTGTAGCTCCCGAACCATAAGCTTCAGACCATATGTTTTATACTTTGTTGAAATCTGGTCATCATGGAGCATCTGATAATGCGAAACAATATAGGGTGATCCATTTAAAAGAAATTGGTGACATGCACTGGGGGTGCGATAGGGGAAGTAACATCAGATGTGAATATGTCAAAATGTGTCTCCCTGTATACTATTGTTGACGTATTTTTATTTTTCCTGAAAATCATTGTACCAAAAGGTATTCAGGCTGCCTCGTTTTAAATGAAATGTACTGTATTTGTACGAAGATTCTCACGGACAAAGTATGATGAGCTGTTTTCTCGGGTTTCGCTCCGTGGTCTGTTTTTTATCCTCATAAGGAGTTTTATAACCAGTCTATTTGTAAAACTATAGACATCACCAGAAGATGGCAAATGATACTTTGCCGAACGTTATGAAAATAATTCTTCTGAAGCCAATATCGTTGTTACTTACGGTAATTTGAGTGCATCTATTATTTTTACTTGAATACTTCACTTCACTTAAAGTTCTTGGCCTTTGCTTCCAATAGGCGCATTTGGCCAGCTCGATTCGAGGGGGCGCAGCTGTCTTGCACGCAGCAATGCTGTCACCCCTTTTTTGTTTAACTTTTTTTTATTATTATATAAAAACCACTTAAAAAGCTTTTGGAGACTTCCAACTTTTTTCAAGTCGTAGCGATGCTGTATATAGTGATGTTTCACGTTGATTATATTTTAACCTTTAAAGATATTTCAAACGCCAATGAATCAAAAATCAATTATAACAAATACTTGGGGCACCAGGCTTGCACCTACGCAAAGGGAGTCATGTAAAGTCACTGACTTCACATGTGTAAACACAAAAAATTAGTCAAAGCCATAATTTCATAAAATTATTCCGAATGTTTATGTCGAAATAAAAAACATGCACAACACAACGAAATAATTGTTATACATGCATAATTCAGTCACCGATGAAAAATTACATGATTTCATTAGCTACGGTTTCTATTGAATGCAGGTGAAGTACTCTTTTCTAATACTCTTCTCGACGTGCGTTTCAAGTTGTTGCGTCTTAAGGAGATGGTCAAACCACAACTTGCTTTTCTGCTGGTTATACTTGTTTTGCATTCATTCTACGCCAGAGGTTAGTTTTACTTTTTATTCATTATTGTTTTCCAAAGAATGTTCTATCATTTTATATTGCATACTTCCACTCAAATATTATATTAATTCCAGATTTGAAACGAATATTCATAATGAAATAGGTACAATTCAAAATCAAATTACATATTTTTCATTTTATTGTTGACAAACTGTAAAAACTCTTGAGAATGTATGACAAACCAAATGCCTAAAGCAAAGTATTTACTCTCATGGAAACGGTTGAAAATATATCCATACATTTATTGCAGAAAATGAAAATTATCATTCCTATATGAATTTCCGATTAGAATAAAGTCGAGAATCGTGGCCCTACAGATATCTTTTTGGGCAAGAATATAACTTGTGAGGAGTGCGTTTCATATTTCGACTTATCAATATCTACAGGAAGGTCATTTCGATAGTATATGTGAATTTTGTAATATGCCAGTATTATTAAATGACTAATGTAAAGTCCCAATAGGAAACTGAACGTGCGCGATTATAGTTCCTGTTTGATAACAATTTGCAATCTCAATAATGTCCGGATGTACTTATCGACCACAGACCACTATTTCACCTTGAATATGAAATTCTCAACCAAATTACCTGCTAATGTCGACTGAAGAAATATAACTCACTATGTAGTAAACATCCCCGAATATTCATAAACATAAATGTATGATGAATATGTTGAGACATACGTCTTATCTTTATATTTGGGAATAAATCAAAACGATCTTGTGCTTTTATTTTTTGGAAATCGTCAGAAACCTCCCAGATTTTGATTTTTTATTTCAATTTTTTTTTATATTTCATTAGCTGACATGGCGGCGAACTTCCTATTGCCTTGAAATTAATAAAAGTTGTTTCAAGTTACTAGCTGGGTTATATTAATTTTTTTATATTGCATGTGAGACACAAAGTAGGGTTATATTAACACGTCCAGCATTGTCAGGTCATTTTCATCAATAACACTGTGATGGATATTGTGGACTTTTCTTCTATTATGCGAGCACAATCACACATGTCATAAACTCAATATTATTTTTTTTTCAAATCGTTTATTCTGCTGTTTCAGGCGGAGACATGTC